ACACAGACAATAAAACAAATGCACATAAACACACACACACACACACACACACACATACATACACATACACACATGTACTTATACACACACACAGACAATAAAACAAATGCACATAAACACACACACACACACACACACACATACATACACATACACACATGTACTTATACACACACACAGACAATAAAACAAATGCACATAAACACACACACACACACACAAGAAGAAAACAAACAAACAACCCCAAACCCCCACTCACAAATGTCATAACAATAGTTCGGAGATTCGCCACAACACACACACTCCTCCCCCGAACCCTTACCTGGTCAGCTCCCTGAAGAACACAGGCGCCCTGGGACACATTGATCCTCTCGCCCGTGAACTTGGTCAGGAGGTTATAAGTCAACTGTGTGACCTCATTCAGGTGGGAGTCCACACTCACGTACAGAGGGAATGGCTGCTTCGCCTTGCCTGGGGACGTACACAATTTCTCAAGTGATTTACAATTTCTTATGTGAATGTCAGATGTAATTGTAAGAAGACATCATCAGGTGTGGAGAATTTCTCAAGTTGACTGTCAGATAAAAAGCAGATAGGTATAATTTAGTTTAGTTTTAGCAAAAGTTTTATGGCACATGCAACACAATAAGGTCGTATAAGTACCGAAGATTAGAGGTGGTACAAGAGAGTAACAAACACAAAAAAGAAAGAGGGGAGATCAGGACGATAGATGATATTAGGTTTCTACCAATTGTTCTTGATACCTTTCTGATCAACTTGTTTATTTTTATGACGTGCCTCCTTCCCAAATTGTTACTGTAGCAAGAAATACCAAAATTTATCAAAGCTTCTTGGAGGCAGTGTAGAATATCTGAACGATGGATGGATTCAGATTGTAAGATTTAAATTTTCTCAGGAAGCACAGCCTCTGATTTACCATTACAATTATATTGTTCACGTGATTTTGACATGTAAATTTGTTATACACACCATAGCCTGAGTAAGGTGGAGAGAAAATTGTTTTTAATGAAACATTAGACACATCATAGCCATTTAAACCCCTGCTACCTAGAGAAAAAACGAGAAGTCTGAGACCCTCCAACCGCTTTTAAGGGAGGGAAAGAAAGAAAAAAAGAAGTAGGATCTATTAATCCCGCCCTCCAACCGCCCACATGAATGGGGTAGAGAAGAACAAGTGTTGGCGGGTGCTATGGCGTTGTCTGCTCCTTCTCTCCAATCAAACATTTGTCGTCCTTCTTTTTCATCCGCCTTTTTCCAATTTGTTACTCGCATGTTACAACTCTAATCTTCAGCATTTGTAAGACCTTATTGTGTTGCAAGTGTGCAGAAAAGTGGGGAGACATAGAATTACATCATGAGGCTAGTCAAGGAAAGAGAAAGGTGGAGAAAGTTTGTTTGTGGCCTATACCCTGACCCAGGGTGAGAAAGGCAATGATGATGATGATGATGATGATGATGATGATGATGATGATGATTGTGTCGCAAGAGCCATAAAACACTCACTAGAAAACAATTTTAAAAAACTG